CGGGAGGGCGGCCGTCCGAGGAGGGGCCGAGCGGCGCGGCGGGGCGCGGGCCGGGGGCGGCGGGGACGGGAGGGCGGCCGTCCGAGGAGGGGCCGAGCGGCGCTGGGGGGCCGTTCGATCCTCCGCTGCTCTGCGGGGCGCGATTGCCTTCGGCCCCGCGGGGTCCGGTCTGCTCGCCATTGGAGGCGCGATCCCCCTCGGCCCTGCGGGCAGCCTTCCCCTCGGCGCCGCGGGCCGCCGTCGCGCCGAGCCCCGGAGGGGACGCGGGGACCCGGGTGGTGTCTGTCCGAGCGCCGGGAGGGCGGAGGCCGAGAGCGCGGAGCGGCGGTGCTGCGGCCGCAGCTGTGGGCGCCTCTCCCTGCCGGCGCTGTGACAGGTGGGTGTGCGGCCGGTGCTGGACGCGGCCTGGCTCTGGGTGGGCTGTTGTCTGTGTGCCTGTCTGTGTGTCTGTGTGTGTTCGTCCTTCCACGTTCTGCTGCCTGCCTGTTGGTGGCCCCGCTCCCATCACAGTTTGTTCTGCCCTGTGTGGCAGCCTCACTAAGGAAGGCCTCGGGGCCTCCCGCTGTCGGTGTGAGGTGCGGTGGTGGCTGGGGAGCAGGGCTCTGGGTGCTGGCAGGTGAGAGATAAATGCTAGTTTTAAGTACTGATAAGAAAACCACTCCTACCCGGGGAGATCACCTTGATATTTTCCAGGTTCCTGCATGTAGAATAGAATTAAATTCTGCTGGGATGTCTTTAAACTGTGTTGTGACCTGTGTAAGAACTGTGATTCCCAAAGTGCTTGTCGCTGCCCTTTTGGCTTCCACGTGTCGGCCTGGAGACAGCATGTTTCTGTATGTTACTGGCTTCTAAGGAGAGCTTTGGACACCTAGAAATGTAACAGACCAAAGTGCCCAGGTAACTTTCAGGCAGGTATCTGTGCATACCACCCGACTGCTCAAGGCCCGTGGAAGCAGCGAGCTCTCAGTAATGTTTCCTGTATGCCTGTGCTCTCTGTGTCGTCGCTTCCCTAACCACTCCTCAAACTGCAGCAGGTGCTGTTTTCAGTTACAGAACTCACATGTGGTACAACAAAACCAACTGTGTACAGTAGAACTGAAGCCAAAGGATTGAGATTTTGGAGCATCAGTGTCCCATGACCAGTGCTCCCACATTACTGGCAGGGTTGTCTGAAGGATTTGGCATCGTTGGAGGCATTTTGCATCCAGGAAAGCAGCACACAGGTGTTGGCATGAGCTGGTGTTCTGTGTTGAGGGCTGGAAGATGTGCAGGGTCATTCAGCTCTGTAAGTGAAGTCTCCTTCCCCCACCAAACAGCTGGGAGGAACGCAGGAGAGAAGAAAAACACAAAATCTTGGGTTCTTGTGTGTTTCATCCCAAATGTGCTTTATGGTTCTCACAAATTAGGTTGCTGGAAGTTTGATTTTGGTTGTTAAAGTTAATATCCATGCTAAGATACTCCCAGGTGTAACTAGTAACTGTGCTGTGTGTAGTCCGTTACAGTGTAAGCAAATAATCAAATACCTGAAAAGCATCTCTCCCAACAGCAGGCTTTACTTGTGCCTGTGTGTGTGGTCAGAAAGTGGCAGGATTGCACAGCACCTTGCAGCAGGGAAGCAGGGAGCCCTGTTTTGTGGTGTATGTGCTGTCTATGTGCAGAGCATGCCGGGCAGTAGGTCTGCAGGACATGACTCTGGCTGCTGTAGTTTGAGGCACATTTTTAAGCTGCTGGTATCTCTTCCTGCCCAGCATAGCCCACACCATCATTTCCTCGAGCTAAAAAGGGCGCTGCATCATGGAGCCACAGAGGTTTCCTCGCTGGTCTATTAGTGGCTTAGCTCAGCTTTGCCTGCGCTTTATGCCATTAAATGCCACTTGCAAATTTAATGCTGGGAGTGCTGAGATTTGTTCTTGTGGAATTTAATGCCTCGTGCTTGGATTTGTTAAAATGGCAGGTTGAGACAATGAACTGCTTGGGTCGGAGAGTACTGAAATGTTTGCAATTGGCGTTCGGGCAGATCAGAGGGAGCCCTGAGCAGACAGCTCAGGTTTCGAGGTTCTGTGTCCTCACCCAATTGCGTTTGTTAATCATGATGTGGTGACAGCTGGCAAGATTCAGCGCGATGGAAGTCCTCGTGCTCAGTGTCTTTGCAGGATCGCTGCTGACCCTGACTTAACCATGTATATTTCCTTGAAAATGGCGCAGGATGCAGCACCTTTCGTCATTCCAGTTTAAATTCACCACTCCTTCCTTCCTCTGTTATTTCATGTGGTGGTGCAGAAGGGTCAGCACCAGGGCTGGTGGGCTTTAAACTGTGCTGCGCTGTCTTCAGTTGTCTGATGTATGGTTTTATTTAATGCGTGACTGTCTCTTGTTTGACTGCTACATGCTAAGTGTTTTTGTAGGGGACAGTGCACAGAATTTAACATTTTTTTGTTCTTAACCTTAGCAAAACAACCAAGGATTAAATGGAGAAACAGCTTGCACCGCCTACAGGAGGCCCCACCCCTGCACCAGGCAGAATGTTAAAGTACTGCTCTTGGTTGGAAAAGAGTCGCAACAGTGGTGTTTACTGGCTTCTCATAGCAGCATAAACCATGACTCCGTATATAGAACAGTGATTTTCAGAAGTTTTGCCTTGGTCCGATTCCATACAATCTCTCACTTCCACACACTGACCTCCTGCCACGGAGATGGCATTTCCTGTACTCCGCTGGCATGAGCTGTCCTGCTGCTGTAGAGTGAAAATGTACCATGCAAGCTGTGCTCAGCAGCCGAGCACCATGCCAGGCTGCCAAAGGCCTGCTTGTGTGCACAGGACAGGGTGCTGTGTGTGCTGGGAGGCTTGGGTAGTTGCATGGGGCTGACTCTGCGTCTATATGCAGGTGGGACAGTGCTGTCCAAGCTGAGCTGCAGTTCCATGAAATCACACAGGATGCTGAAGTTGGATGGTTGCAGCTGTAGTGCTGGGGAAAGGTAGTGTGGGGATAGCTGTGTGCCAAGGAGGAGGGAATACAAAGAAACTACAGCAGAGTGAGGATGGGGAGGAAGGGGTGGATGCAAGCATGTAGAGGCCCCTGGTGGGGCCTCTGTGAAACACGTGGGCAGAATGTGGTGGTCTGTGTCCTACAGTACCTGAGGGATGCCAGGGTGGATGCTTGGTCAAAATGTGGTTATACAGAGATGCAGCCACACTGGGAGAGATTTTTATTTGCCACAAGCAATATTTAGTAATAGCTTAGGGTTTCTTATCTACTTGCTTTGAAACAGCACAAAAGCTGTATTTTGCAGTGATGAGCAATTATCTGCAAATTAAAAAAAAATACTGGTCAGATACTGCTTTTGTTTTTATGCATGTATAATCTCCTATTTTAGTTTTCTCTCTTTTGAAATATAAATAGATGGTTTATCAAAGGAGACCTCAGAAAGAGCCCACATCATTCATCAGATGTGGATTATTTGCATTCTGATACTTTGTTCAGCGTTTGTTGGGGAACACTTGCAAGAAAACGTGTGTCTGCACTGAGAAGGCAGAGATCTGGACATCCTGATGTCCACAGGCACGTGTAGTGTTGCTGGGATGGCATGCCAGTGGAGCTGGTGTTACTGAGTGGAGCTTTGGAGGGCTCTGAGGCTGAGGGTCTTGCTGTTACAACCCCAACTGCTCCATTCATCCTTGCGCACCGCGTTGCCTGGCATCGCAGTAGCTGCCAGCAGGGAACTTCCTTTGCTGTTTCTTTGAGTGCCTGCCAGTCTTTAAAACCCCTCTGTGCTTCTTCCCATTAGAGGTGAGCTAATATCACAGAGCACTCAGCATGTTAAGTGTGGACTGCTTGCAGTAACTTTGTAATCCCTTACGCTTTAACACTCTCTGTTTGTAGCTGGATGTGAACAAAAATACAAAATAATTGTATGCGAAAACATCTTTTGACTTCATTGGCTGAGAATTGATTTGTTGGCAGTCAGGGAATCTTGTTTCTGTGTTCAGAACAGTTTTTGGTCTTTTCATGCTCATAGCCTAAACGTGGAGTGCATCCTAAGAACTGTAGGACGTTTCTGTGGTCCTCCAGGCAGTTCCACGTAACAGCTCCATGCTGACGGTTCAGCCTGTAAGATGCGCTGCTGTGCTACTGAACTAATTACCTCTGCTTGCAGACT